GCGTTTTTTCTTCTTGTTTTTTTTGAGGAAGTCTTGGGATCCTTACGAGGGTACGCTATGGTAAAGACCCAAAAAAGTCCCTTCTTTGAGATTTTTTTTTTAATAATTATGTCTTAAAAAATAATTAATTTATAACTTAAACTTAAACTTAAATAATAATTTTATTAATTGATACATCGATGGATAGATTTTGAAGATATTTTAAGAATTTTTGTACATGAAAATATAAATATATTGTGTGATGATACGCAACACTGTAGATCTCTATGTTCAAAAAGCATGGTCCATCAATGGCGTAAAGAATTCAAGTTGTAATTATTGAAAATAAAAATTTTGAAAATTTCGAAACTTTTTAATTAAGCATAGAGTTTTTTAAAAATATTTTTTTCGCAAAATGACGATGGTTTGAAAAAAAATTTTAAATTTCACTAGATTTTGACTTTAAACATCTTGTTTTCAGAAATTAAGAATTAAAAGAAAGAAAAAAAATCCCTATTTCCTTAACTGAAATTATTCATGTTGTTGAAGTTACTCTTGAAATTTGAAGCCAATCAAAAATTGCTCTAGTTGTAGATTATGCTAGTTATGCTATCACTTCAAGAAGAGTAATTTTGAGAAAAATGCGTTTAAATTTTAGTATCAATCATTTATCAGTTAAATTTACTTGTTTACTATAGTGAATCTATTGTTGGTGAAACAAGTACAACTACACGGTCGAAGAAATTTTTGTGACTAAACACATTGAGTTAGGCAAGGTTTAAGTTAGTCTAAAGATTGTTTTAGGACAACTAATAAGATACGCGCGCTTTTGGTATAACTCATACAATTTGAAAAATACGAATTTTATTAAAATCTTTTAAGATCATACTTCTAATAGAATTCGATTGGATATACTAGAGCGCACTGGTATACTTTAAAGACTGTTATATATGTACACTATTATATAGTTTAAAAGCGCACTATACACAAATTGGACTGCGAAGTGCTCGATACAATTAATTAAATCTATTAGAAGTTAGAATTTTTCTCCCACTTTTAGAATTAATTTATTTTGAAAATTACCGAAAAGTACCGAATTGTGCTAAATTTGTGTTACATTGTGCTCGAATTTTAAAACTGTAACGTGAAAAATATGATAAAGATGAAAAAAAAGACATTATCGTAGACTAGTCCTTCATTTTGTCAATTCATTTTTTCAATTTTCTCGATTGTGCTAAATTGTATTAAATGTTAATTGTTATTGTGTTAACATTATACTAAGATATTATCTTTAAAAAACAATAGAAATTATGATAAAAAATGAAATTAAATTTGGAATAAAAATCAAAATAAATTTGGAATCAAAATAAATTTGGAAAAGAAAATATATAAGTACCGATTATCTTGTACTAATTAGCCTAAACAGCATACAAATGCATCTAACTTGTACTCGCTCAACATGGCACAATCTTTGGTTTCGTCAGCACAACGATATTAAGAACACTTTTCCTTGAACATGGCCTTTCGCGCTCGAATACTATGTTCGAAAGTCGGATTTGTAGATACCAAATGTTAATGATACTATATATCTGAGTTGTGCTAGATTAGCACAAATCAGCAGAACTCTCCGATTTTGTCGGTACAATATTAAGGATATTTCACTATTGAAAGCGATATTTTAGCGCTGGAATTCGAAATTTGAATATAGACTCGAATGTGAAGAGCCACGCTCACGAGTAAAGAGCCCTTAATCCTTAATGGCTTATGTAAAAAACGATATCACATGTGGTTCTACATGGGTTTTTCGAGTCCGGCTCTTTTCATGTCTTTAAAGTGATTCGAACAGTTTGTAAAAATTCACTAGATATACTTTCAAGTTTCCAAAACAAAAACCTATACTTCATTGTGCAAGAAACTAAAATGTAGTATAAATCCGGGACCTTTCAACGTGCTGAGAAATGTCTTGTCCGGACTTGAGATACCCATATAGGGTCACAAAGGTTAGTATGTGAGTATATGTAGTATCATTAGCATTGAATAAATAAATCCGAATTTCAATCACATAGAATTCGAATGTGAAGAGTTATGTTCAACAGTAAAGTGTTCTTAATATCGTGCTGAGCGAGTACAAGGTAGATATGTATTTGTGTGCTGTATGGATAATTGATACAAGAATAATCAATATATTTAATACTTATATATTTTATTTTCTACATTTATTTTTTATAATAACTTTTATTATTATTATGTTTTTAAAGATAATATCTTAGCGTAATGTTAGCACAACTTAGCATAATCGAGAAAATTGAAGAATCACAAAGTGGAGCCCAAAATAATAAAATAAATTTTTTCATTTTTCATCATATTTTTCACATTTTAAAATTCAAGCACAATGTAGCACAAATTTAGCACAATTCAGCAATTTTTAAAATCAATTAATTCCAAAAGTGGAGGAAGAGTTAATTTCTAATAGATATTAATTATACATTATTTGGTAAATACATTATTTAAAAGCTGTATTGGGCATTTAATCAATAAATGTATTTATATTATGCTTTTATATCTAGATAGATTAATGTATAACAAGCTTTAATCTACACAATGTATTACATTACAATATATTACACTGCATTCAACCGAATTCGCTATATAAGATATTAATCTTTTAAAAAATTAAGAAAAAAATCGATTTTTTAAAGATGTTATTACAGCATACCCCTTAAATTTTTTGCTGCGATTTTCGTGCAGCACTCAATAAACGCAATAAACGATAAGTGCGATATGAACTTGTGTGATGTTGAAACGGATTATTTAAAAGGCTGCAAACGCAATAGGAAGCACCACGTGCTCGCACCACGTGTTTGCATCACGTGTGTGTGTGTGTGTGTGTGTGTGTGTGTGTGTGTGTGTGTGTGTGTGTGT